CCTAGCCAGCAGTCTGTGTCACATACAGACTGACCCTAGCCAGCAGTTAGCGGTCTGCTCATTAGTCAATAACTTTACACACCTGATCTACTTAGAGTTGCTTAATTATAAATAAATTTAATCCTAGTAGCAATTGGCCTTAATCTCAGGAGTTCAAACTGTTTCACACACAGTCCCTGTCAGGGAGGAGTTGAGCTCATTCCCTTGGGAAAGTGAAGATCCTAGGCCAGTGAAGATCCACTGCTGCGGAGGGCCACAGAGCTCCAGCAGAAGACAGCCTGTAGGGGGAGTGGGTAAAATTGATCAGTTCGGGAGCCACTGTTCTTGTCTGAAGCAAACCAGAGCTGGAGAATAGCAGCCCGCACAGCCCCACCTCTGTGACAGCTCCATGCCCAGCTGCTCCCCTAGAGAAGAATTGACTACCCAAGTGTAGTAAACCCTTGGTTAGATTTTCCCTTTGGGTAGAAGCTGCCAGACCCCTGGGTTCATGTGTGAAACTGCAGCGCTGACTCTCCTCACCTCCCTGTGCTCTCTGGTTTGGACTTACTACAGAGTATTTCCTCGTTTAGGTTGAGCATTCCTTAATATGACCTTGAACTTTACAGAGAAGCCAGGCTTGGTAGCACACACCTGTAATTCTAGCACTTGGGAGGTAGAAGTAGAAGGATTAGGATTTCATGGCCAACCTGGGCTACATAAGACCTTAGAGAGAGGCTAGCGCAAGTGGATAATGGAAGAGGGGACAGAGAGGTGGGGAGAGGTTAAAGAGCCACGGTTTCCTCTGTGAATGTCGTGCATGAATCACTGACCTGCATCGCAGGCCCTCCCAGTAGGCCCGGCTGCACTAGTAGAGGGGTGCTGCAGCTCTGCACTTTTATTGGCCGTTGTCTCTCTCCACAGCTCTGCCTTGCTGTGGGCGAGAAAATGGACTGTCTGACTTCCTCTCTCATCTGTGCGTTTACTATGTGCCAGTCACTGTCAGGCCTTGATGAGCCCTTTCCATAGCATATAAGCTAAATAATACCCCACACACCCCATGGAAGAACATGAGGTCCAGAGCAAGCTGCACAGCTAAGATCCAGTCTGCTAGCCCCAAGCTCAGACTCTTTGAAACATCATTCTGTAATGCCCAGCCTTAATTAAACCTTGTACAATGAAAACTTCTGGGGCTGGTAAGATGGCTTAGTCAGTAAGGTGCCGCACAACGGCCTGAGTGTCACCTCCAAGACCCACATAAAGCCAGGCATGGTGGCGTACATGCAGGAGCCAGCTGGGGAGGAGTACTTACTGGCAACCAGCCTGAGAATCAGTGAGCTCCAGGCTACTGAATGGCTCTGCTTCAAAGGACATGATTGACATTCCTGAGGGTGATAACATTTGTCCTGTAGCCTACACACGTGGACATGCTCACATACATACATGCACATCAAGGAGGAAAGTGGTCAGAGCTGGTGTATTGGTACAATGAATTGTCATTGTCCTACCTTCTGCCTTCAGGCTTGGTAAGGAGGACTCTGAAGCACAGTGGAAGCTTTTTTATTCTGGAGCTGGCAGTAATTAACGTGTTAGTCTGGATATCCTAAGGTGATGAAACAAACGATAACCCCAATAACTAGTTTCCCTTTAATAGACTCAAAAGTTAACTTTGATGATTTTGTTTTTTGAGACAGGGTCCTAAGTACCCAGGTTGGTTTTAAACACAGGTCTCAAGTAACCCAGGGTGGTCTTGGAGTCCTGATTCTCTTCCTCCTACCTCCTATGTGCTAGAATTACCAGGCATGTGCTACCAGGTCAACTAAAGCTTTCCCTTTTTATCTTTAATGATTTAGTATGAACATGAATTCAGGGTTAAGGAGCTAGAGAGACGGCTCAGTGGCGTAAAGCACTTGTTCTTGCAGAGACCTGGGTTTCATTCCCAGTTCCCACATGGTGGGTCACAACCATCTAAAACTCCATTTCCAGGAGTTCCAATAGCTACCCTCTTCTGACCTCCTCAGGCATCAAGTACAAATGTGGTGCACATACATACATGCACATAAAACAGGTCTTTAACAACAAGAATAGGAGAGTAAAGAACAGGCATTAGTGTGGGAGTGGGATGTATGGTCTTACCCAAATTGGTCCTAGACTTCTGGGCTTATGTGATCTTCTTCTTTTGCCTCCCAAGTATCTGGTACTTAACAGATATGTGCAACTGTGCCAGCTAGAAGCCCAGAGTTTCCCATGATGAACTTTCTAGTACTGTGGGTGGTGTGTGTGTATGTACATGCATATGCAGGGGCATCTGTGTGTGCCTGTGAAGGCAGAGGCTGGTATCAGGAGCCTTCCCAGTCACTCTCCACCTTTCTTTTTGAGATAGGATCTGTCTGCCTCCCCTGTACTGGGATTGCAGACACTCTACTTACTGTCCTAGCTTTTTATGTGGGTCCTCGGTGTCTCAGGGCCTCATGACGGAGACACACACACTTATAGTTTGTTTTCGACATGGGATCTCATGTAGCTACGGCTGGCCTCAAATTTGCTATGCATCTGAAGATGGCTTTGAACCCCTCCCTGGTCCTCCTGCCCCTGAGTGTTGAGGTTATAGGCATGTGCCACCAAGTCGGGATTGAGAGTGTTCTTTGTCGCTGCCACCCCAGACTTGATCCTTATCTGGCCTGTCAGTGCTCCGCCACCGCACCAGCCTTGTGATGAGCCAGCTTCTGATGCAGAGCATTCTCTGCTGTTCATTTGCAGCTGTGACTCCTCTCTCCTCACACAGTAGGAAGTTCCTGAACCCTCTGTTCTCGAGTTCAAGAACTGTAGAGCCTTTGGCCCTTAAGGCCACAAACTTTTCCCTTCATAAAGGACGGAGATAGAACCCGAAGAGCCACCCTGCTGTTCCAGGCAGACATTACAGACACCAGACTCGGGCAGAGGCCACCAGCCTTTTACCAAAGCACCTAATGTTGCCTGAATATCTTGGCAGGCTGCTTTATAATTACCTGAAGTGCCACAAGAGAGATGTCTAAAGTGACAGATACTTGAGAGCGAAGTCTTAGACAACAGGCAGAGCATAAATAACAGCAGATTGTTTCCTGTTTTTCCTGGAGTCAGGGAGGGAGATGGCTCCAGGGGAGGAGGAGGAGGAGGAGGATCTGGATCTTAGTGCTTGGCACAGTGGCCTGATGGCTCCAGGGGAGGAGGAGGAGGAGGAGGAGGATCTGGATCTTAGTGCTTCGCACAGTGGCCTTCGAGCACCCCTTTATTAGCATCTGGTCAGAGGGGTCTTACATCCCAGAGACGTGAGTTCACCTGGCTTACAAGGCAGGACGAGGCAGCCTGCTGTGCCTGCTAGACTGTGTGCCCAGAGCGTAGAACAGGGCCGGGCTGTCCCTCAGTGGTAGGGCGCTTCTTTACCTGGCATGCACACAGCCTGGATACCATGCCAAACACTGCAGAACTAACAAACTAAATAAATGCGTTTAACAGGTCTTTTCTGTTGTCAAGGGCTGGAATTTGTGTTAGTTACTTTTGTTGACCCTGTGACCAACCAGATACCTAGCAGAGGTCATTTAAGTCGAGACAGGTTTATTTTAGCTCTCAGCACACTTTAGGGGACTCCGTGGCAGGGAAGGCATGGGCCAGACATGGTCTATGGCTTTGGGAGCATCTTAAACAACTGCCAGTTACATGGCTCCAACTAGAAAATAGAGCCAGACTAGGAGCCAAGCAAGCCTATAATGCTCACAGCCTGCCTCTACAGCCTTAAGACTACCAGCCAGGCCTTATGTCCAAAAGGCCTACAGCCTTCCAAAACAGCACCACCAGCCAGGGGACAGTGTGTTCAAACACACAATCTGTGAGGAACACTTCACATTCAAACCATAACAGGATTGGGCTGAAGGCCTAGCCTTGACTAAACAAGTCCTCTCAGCTAAGCTACATCCTGAAACATTTCTCTAGTCTAAAAGCTACTAGCAATTTCCAATACAAAATCCACAGCAGGGTGCTGTCTGAGGTGAGAAGGGACAGAGGCAAGACTACCCCAGAACTTAGCGCAGAGTCCTCTCGGCTGCAGCACTAATGGGCATAATCTGTGGAACAAATAGAAACTTCCAAAGCAGCCATGCTCCACAGAAGTCCATCCATGCACCGAGCCAAAGCCAGTGATGCCTTGGCTTCCTGCCCACATGCAAATGGCATGGCAGCAGTGCAGGGTGTCGGCATGCAGCAGCCAGGCTCTGCTTCTCACATGAGTTTTCCAGTCTGTCCGGTCTTCCTAAGTTGCTTTCCCAAGCCAGCGTGTGTCACTGTTAGAACACGCTGTCCAGAGCAGATAATGAAGCGGCGTGTTGGTTACTGCTTCCACACACACTGAGCACTAACTAACTCAGCCTCTGTAGGTCTGTCGGATGGTAGGCCGTGGTGCTGAGCAAGACATGGTCCTCAGCCCCCAGAGTCTATGGAAATAACGTACACAACAAAGGAACTTCTGTAGAAAGTTTGGGGTGCTACAAGATACCACAGCAGAGAGGAGGGATCCAGCTGGGTCCAGGGGTCTGAGAACGCTTTCCAGGGGG